GGTTTTTACAGCTGCTGTTAATTGTTGTTTTCAATAAATTCAGAGTTAAGACAAAAATTTCAATCGCGTAATTCGTTAAAGTCACAGGTACAACAAAAATAGAAAAGAAATTAGTTTAGGTTTAAAGAAAGGGCTGATTACTACTACTGTTGGAAACTAACGGGACAATTGATAGAATGCTGCAGCGAAATGAAGACTTTCTAACCAAAACTTAATCCCTGATCATATCGAAAGATAACTATAGTTCGACAACTGACGTTTTTATTAGTTCGCTTCAGATCAGAATTTCTGTTTTCCGTGTGCATTAAAGACGATTTTTTTTGTGTTAATTCTTTGAAACCGGATTTCAAAAAATATATGATGTTGTCCTGTGGTTGAAAATATTTTTCCTACGTCAGTTACTCTCTGCTAGGAATCAAGAAGTTGAGACAAAGGTGGATGTAGTTTGAATAATTATCATCACCATTTTCATCATCATTTACCACTCTTATGTTATTATCTGCAGCGTTCCGAGTGTTAATGCATAAAAAAATTGCCCCATCAGGTGCAAAAAATGACCTATATTGTTTTTTTGGAATTTAATACTGAAAAAGTTGAGGTCTTAACTCTTCGTTAACTAGAAAAATTTATAAAAAAAAAGGAAACAAATTTCCACTATCAAACCTTTGCATTAATTTTCGCGCATTAATTTATCCCCTGCAGACGTGACATGCCTGTCACACGGGGAAAATAAGCTTCACCAGCTAACCGAAAAAACATAAGGACCATGTGAGCGGACAACATTACAAAGTCTATGACATTAGAAGATAGCAATGGAATGTCTCCCACTCGTGCACGTATTTACTGACAACCACCGCTACACGTTAACAGAGCTTGACTTAAGGTAACGTTACACCGGCATCCACAAGCTGACTGCTTCTTGTCTCCAACTCAGTTTTCATTTGACTTTCAAATTTCTGGTTTTACGAACTAATCGACAATTTTTCCTCTTTTTTTATATATATTAAATGTAAAGCAACAATTCAAAGTGGACGCCCCCATGCAGATTTTTTTTTTTTGGACATTTTAACAAGTTGATTGTATTTGATTCTCGTCAGCAGTTTTACACAACATTGTAGTACTGTTTATAAAGAGAAAATTAATTTTGATCAGCTTTACCGAAGTGCTATTTTTCCTTTCTTTTGACACCACTAAGAAAATTCATTGTACAGTTCATTTTTCTGTGATATCACAGAACCTAAAGAAACTAGACGGATCGAATAACAGACTAACGTTCCAGAGATAAATAGTCAAGAATAAATATTCCGTTAGAGCACAAAGCAAACACTTCTTCATCAACAAAATCGACATATTTACCGGAAATGAAGTTATTTTGCGATACACAGAAAAAAATGCTCACCGTCTTTAAATTAACAATTTTGCTGCAAGAAGGATAAAATAATTGACTACTAAGGGTAAAGGAAAAAGTTACAAAGCTATTACATTAAGTACCTGAATATTGATTGTCCCTTTACGCTTTAAGAGCCTGATCGCATTTATCCACATAAGCAGCAGAGAATAAATACACAGAGAAGTAAAGGTTTCTACAGCTGCTGTTAAGTGTTGTTTTAAATAAATTCAGAGTTAAGACAATAATTTTAATCGCGTGATGCGTTGAACTCACGAGTACAACAATTAGCTGAAAAACGTAACCTATGTTGTTCTTTAGGAAATTAATACTGAAAAAGTCGCTGTCTTTATTCTTGGCTAGCTAGAACAATTGAAAAAAAAAGGAAACAAATTTCCGCTATCAAACCTTTACATTATTTTGCGCGCGTTAATTTATCCTTCGCCGACGTGACATGCCTGTCACACGAGCAAAATAAGCTTCATCAGTCAACCAAACGACCATAAGGACCATTTTTAACAAACAGACGTCATTTGAGTTTTTTCTATGCAGTCCAGAACCTCCACAACACTCATTTTGTTTGTTGGCTTCAAAGGAAACTAAACTTGCAATTATCTTTAAAAATACACCGATATGGATTAGACATGAATATTAATTTTGACAGCGACCTGAGAACTGACTCGGGTGAAGAAGAAGAAGAAATAAGCGATGTAGGCACAGTTAACCCATGCTGGTAGAATGCGCCTCGGCAATTATGAAAATATCTTTACGCACAGGCGTCCCGAGCTCACGTCATGAGAAAAAGAAAGCGATTAATTCATGAAAGCGTCACGCGTTGTGTGACTCGGTGTTAAGTTACCAGAGGAAATTTGAGAATTTAACTTGTTCGCGTCTGAAGCTTTTATAGTCATTGGCGATGTTTACCTTGCTTTATTCGC